TCTCCTTCTCTCCTTCTCCAAAGAGAAGTGGTTTCTTCCTAGGCAGGTTTTGCTCGTTACCATAACCCAGTTTGATTTAATTTATTATTTGCTCTTTTGCAACAAGCAGCAGCTGCCAGGATCACGCAGTGGCAGCTGGGGATCGATAGGCAGGCAGCGCTCTCTTCGCAGCATTTCCCTTGGCAGCGCTTTCTGCTCATCACCTCCTCATTCTGATTTCGTGCCTGCCTAAATACCGGAGTGATACTCGCCTGGATTGATGCTGATCAGCAAGGATAAAAACAATTTATCATTGGATTTACTGACAGAAAAATGACACAGTTCGAATTCTGTTGCAGAAACCCAAATATCTGTTGGGGAAACGTGTGCGAAAGTCTCTTGGCTTTAAGAGAACCCAATAAATGCAACCCACGTGCCCTGGTTATAGTCCCTTTTCAGCCATTAGCAATGGGATTGACCCCTGAGTGAGAAAAGACACAAATTCTTCCCCCTTCGTTTGATTCGGGGTGTTTTCCTGTGGTGGGGCAGCACACAGGAGTTTCGAATAGGACTGTGTTACTGCCGGAGTCTGCCAGGCTCATCTCATTAGGACACCGGTGCCATTTGGAGTGGGGTGGTCTCGCAACACTGATGCAGTTGCCAGTAGCCTGTAGTTACAGGATTCCTCTGGGATGGCAGGTAATTACATCAATTGGATTTATTTTAGAATGAGGCAGAACTTATGGATGCTAAACACAAAAAATGAGGCTAAAACACGCTGAAGATGACAAATCGTTGAATAACTTGGTGTTCCTTCTGCAACCTCCTGTAACCTGAGTGCCGTTCGGGTTAGGTCATGAAACTCCTATTTCCCGAGTGTGAAAGTTCCAAGAGATTTTGAGTATTCCCAGAGGTACTGTGTCCCTTTACCCATCTTTTTTCACTGTTCTCGTCCCTGAACCGTGCTTATGCCGTTCCAGGTACTCCTTCCAGGACGAAGAAGATATGTTTATGGTTGTCGACCTCCTGCTTGGCGGGGACCTGCGTTACCATCTCCAACAGAACGTGCGGTTCCAAGAAGGCACCGTGAAACTCTTCATCTGTGAGCTGGTGCTGGCCCTCGACTACCTCCAGAGCAGGCACATCATCCACAGGTCAGCGGGGGCTGTGCAGGAGGGCGATGCTGGTGGGCTGATGCGGGACTGACTCTTCCTCTTCGGCACAGGAGGACAGAGAGATGCTTGAGGGCTGAACAAAATACTCTCCTGCGCGTGTTTTAAAGTAGAGCACCCCCTGCCCCGAGGAAAGCGTTTCATACGCGACAGAGAGCGTGTTTCTCACGCTGTATTGCACCTATCGCAGAGGATCTGATTTGTTTGCTGATCCTGCAGAAAGTTCTAATAGGTTTAATTAGCTGCAGCTCATTAATAACCGTGCTGGTCCAGGGAGGGCAGGCGTCAGCATTCAGAATTCCCCTGCTGCCACACTCGGGGTGTCTCCCTTTTGCTCCCCTCTCTGTACCCCACTGACAGGGAACAGGACCGAGCAGCTTGTTTCTGTATGAGGTTAAATCCCCTTCCAGAAGCGGTGAGAGTTTCTGTCTGGGCACCAAGGTTTTTCATGGCCAGTGAAAAGATATTTGAGCTCCTCCCATACATTTGCGGAGCTGCAGAGTAACAGAGGAGGTAGAGCTTTTCCCAGGTTGGAGAAGCAGATCTGGCTCCGGACAGCATCCCATTGGTGTGCCAGGCAGCGCAAACCTCGGGCATCCAAGGGTTTTGACTTAGTAGCTGCTAAGAGGGGGTGTGAGCAGGGAAGGACTAGCAGAGGGGTGATAAAGGCAGGGAGAAGATGCCCCCCTTTATAAACACCACTCCAGAAGAGCGTTCCTGTGAGGTGCAGAAATAAAGCATGGTACACAATTCAACATGAAACAATCCTGGGTGTTGGCAGGGGAAGGAATAGGCTACTGAAGGGCTGGTGAAGATGAACCCTTGTTCGTCTGCTGTTTCCGAAAGGCCTGGTGCACCCACCGCATGCCCGCGCAGCACCGGCGAGGTCCTGCCCTGCTTCGCTCGGAGCCAGCCCTCCCTGGGGATAGCTCCTGCTTCCTCAGGAGTTTGATGCTTGTTTTGTTTCATACCTGCAAGGATGCCTACCTGGGCCAGCCCAGCTGCTTGCCTGGGATGCAGCGGGCGCTGCCATGGTCGGTGACACGGGGCCAGCGTGTGGTGACATCACCCTGTCCCGCACCGCCCGGCACCTGCTCGCCAGCACCAAATAATGAATGAGCATGAATTAAACATCAGGAAACACAGCCCCAGCTGGTGCCATCCTGGGCAGCAAGGGGTAAATCCAGTGTTGTCTTGGCTGGAGCGAACTGAGTGAGGCACAGGGGTAAGGGGGCACAGGGAGGAAACCCTTCCCTCTTAGTAGCACGGTGCACTTGGTAGCAGCGTTCACAGGACAGGGGCTGGAGGTTCGTCATGATATGGTGCTGTAAGAGTGCATCTGTGTGAGGAAGGGACTGTTCCTCAGTGATGACTTGATGACAGCGTGATAACCTGTGCTCCCAAAGCTGCCCCGGGCGGCTGCAGTCCCCGGTCCCAGCTGCATCCCTGCAGATCCGTGGCCGTCAGCATCCCGTGGCCATCAGCGTCACCGAGGGGTGGGCTGGCGTCCCGCTCGGCTGCAGCGGAAGGGCAGGCACGAAGGGGACCTGAGCCAAAGGGTGAAACTCCTGGGATTTTCCCAGAGCGTTGCCTGCAAATGTAGGTGGGAGAAGCTGAAGTTCAGGCAGCAGCGTGTGTTTCACGACTCTACGCGTTAAAGGTGAATCAAGTACAACAAAACACACGTGGCAGCCTGTAAAATTTGCAAGTTATTTAATTAGCACTGTAAGGCGAGCTGTTTAATTAAACACGGTAGCCCAGTGGGACGGTCTTATGTTGATAAGTGACTCGGCTGAGTCGATCACGGCAGCGTCTGTAATTGGGGACATCGGGGAACGGGAGCGACTGCGTATTGCGTCTGCACAAAGCTCCGAGAGAAGCAAACGGGCTGATGGCCACCTGCACTACAGGAGTGGGGAAAAAAGTTGCTCTTTTTTCAGGGTAGGAAATGGTATAACCACTTTATAAACCAGAAACGTACAAAAACTCGATAAACAGAAGTGCCCTGTTCATTGGTGCATCCTGGAAATGACCTGGCTGTGCTGGTGTAATTCCATAGGCTGCATACTGGGCTGAGGGAGGTTGAAAAAGGCCCCAGTGGAAATACAAAAAATAATAATTAAGAAAAAGGTTGAAAAAGGGGTGAAAAACCAAAACCTGTCTTATGGTTCATGTCAAAACTTTGAAAATGTTTCTGCATCGAGGGATTCAAAGAATCCATTCTTTTCAAACTCTTTTTCTGAAATATTCCTTGAAGTTTTGGCTTAAATAATGTTTTCTCAAAAATACCAGGTGTGGCATCTCCTTTTTTTGCTATAAATACGTTCTTCTGACCTGGGCTGTTTGCCTCTAGCCCATGGCATTGCTGCGCTCACGGGGAACACCAGTGCTTTCCTGACTGACCATTCTCTCCGGGTACAGACGCCTGTTCCGGCGGGTACCTGTGTGATGGGGCTGGCACAGGCAAGGTGGCCGGTAGCTGTAGCCCGCTGGAAGTCGTTTGGGTGGGAAGATGCCAGAGAACTGCAAGCTGCTACAGGATAATTAGCTATACTGTCTCTTCCTGATTCCAGGTGCTAGGTGAACTCCAGCTTTGTCTGAGTGTTGGCATGTTTAAAGATCAGACCCTAAACCTCCTCGTTTCTTGAGCCCCAGGCCAGGTGGAAGCAGCGGGCCGTCGCGGGGTGACAGCATGTGTCAGGCTCAGGCAGGCCAACGGGCTGGTGTAATTAGCTCATTAAAACCAGGTAATGTCTTGTACAGCCACTCGGCTGCATCCCGGGGCTGGATCAGGTTCCCATGTCTCCCTTCAAGGGGTAGCCTTTCCCCACAGCAGTGCTATGGGTAGTGTTACTTTGCAGGGTTTATTATTAGGAACAAAACCTGCTGGGAGCTCGTTGGTTTATAGAGCAAAGCTATTAAAATAATTGGATTTTTACTGAGTAAACCAGCTCTCCATAAGGAACTGAGACGGATTAAGCAGTAAAAGGAGGAAAAAGAGAAAACGGGCTCCGTGGTTGTAGGTGGACAGTCTGGGTGCTGCTCTCTAAACCACAGCAGCCCCGACCGCCGGAGCCCTGTTCCCTATTTCTGCTTTTTTTGTTCGATTTGTCGCTCTCAACACCTGAATCAAACCCACGGGAACATCGGAGCTGAAGAGCCCCAGCAAAGCCACCTCCCAGGGCACGGTATCCCCGGAGCGTGTCCCTGAGCCTGGGCTTTGCTGCGGCGCCTGTTGCCATGTGCCATGCCACTTCTCCGGGCTAATGGCCCTCTCCCCTTTGCCTTTTTTCCTTAGGGATATCAAGCCTGACAACATTTTACTGGATGAGCACGGTAAGTGCCGGTTGCTCTGCGGTCGTGCACACGGAAAAGCAGAGTTGGAAACGGGACATCCCACTTGCAGTCCAGGAGCTTGCTGCTTTCCCCTTTTCCGTTGCTCGCGCTCGCAGTCACCAGCTCCCGCTGACCTGACAGTGCCTTGAGGAGGTGTCGGCAGGGACAAGCGGTCCGTGCTGCTGGGGTCAGGTGGCCTTAAATAAGCCGGCCTTCTTCCCAGAGCTCCTTGGCTCTCGATTTAAACTTACTCAGGGTGTAACCATTTGAAGGGAGGCGGCGCGTGGCACCGCAGGCTGCGTGCAGCGTGCGCTCCCAAATGGAATGAATTATTGAGTAGCTAATCTGCATTCACACAGAATGAATTATTGAATAGACCTTATTTTCGTCTTCCTTGACCAGTTGACACGGGGAGGGAGCTCCGAAGAGGGTTCAGGACTGGATCTATTATAGGTGTTGTGATAATTTTTTTCTTGAGTCATTTTCTCAGGCAAAACTCCAGCTATGTTCTTGCCTTGCTCTCTAGACCTGTTTTCTGGCCTGGCGCTGAGAGCACAGCGTAGCTTTTAGCTTATTATAAAAACCCTTTGTCATTTCCTATGTTTTTGAAACCCCACGTAAGTGGCTTGTTGTGAGAAATCCTCATTAGCAACTACTCCAAGGCACTCCAAGAGAACGCGTCGGGGCAGGGACATGGTGTGTCCGAATCCATCATCGCTTCCGAGGCTGGAATAGGGATGCTGCAGCTCCTGAGGAGCCGCGGTGGCTCTGCTGTGAC